ATCAAAAAGCACTGTTAGACCCAGACAAACTGCAATTTCTGCCAATTCCCACATAAAAACAAACAAATAAACACTTATACCTTACAGCTCAGTATTTTTAATCTCGAATGTTTCTATATTAGCTTTTTAAAGGTACAGCTCCATAGATATGGCATGAAAATATAGCACAGAAGAACATGACAGCCTACATGAAACTCATTCCAAAAATATGACACAGGCTCCACAAACGTTCATACTAGGTTACTAAACTGAATCCTTCTCTTTACAGGAAAAGCGTGGAATGAGTCCAGTGAGGTCTACTGCCTCACCTCCTGGAAGCGCATGAACATAAACCCCAATCAGCCACAGCAGAAATGTGTGTTTACATGAAGGAGTAACATAACGGAAAAATTGCTAGAATTAATCCTTCCAGCCCAGGCAAGTCTGCGGAAATCTTTTTATTGATTTCAGAGAGTACACCAATAATTAAGCATAAACAGAAAATAAGAGTACCCTGAGCACTGACTGTTTTGTACGAATATAAAAATTGTACTTTGGAACTTGTTTACTCATGTAGTACAGCTGGTGAAAAATACAATTGAGAATATTTATATTTTCAATTGTTTGTCATTTGATTTCTTTTCCTTCTTTTCACAACAAATTACTTGTCTCATCCTGTTGAATCACTTTGTATTCACAAAGACATAAAGCCTTTATGTTGCTGAACACCGCAATTATTCAAGGGATTCAGAGTGTAGGAAGAAAAAAAAAAAAAGAGTAACTAACAACATTACTTGTTTATTACAGCCCGATCCTTGAAAGATATGGTGTACTTAATTGAATAGTACAGACTTTTGTAAATGTCACATGCCCTGCAGGAAAAGGAAAACAAAACAAAACACAAAAATTAAGTTACCCGCTGCTTCTTGGACCATGGATAAACTTACAAATGGTCTGTTACTTAAAAATTAAGCTACTTAATTCTATAACCTGAACTATTTTTGTAAAAGTATACAGAAGCCTGTGTCCATCAAAAGCAAACAAAAGAATAAATGCCGTTCGCAGATTCAGACACTACATCCAGTAAATAATAAAAGGGAAGCTTTTATGCTGACAGATTTCAAATAAACTGCATATGAAAAAGCAAAAAATACTCCAGAGAGTTAAAAAGTTGACCCAAGGAACTGCCAGCCCTTTGAAAAGTTTACGTGTAACATGATTTAAATCAAGGGTCACTGCCCTCACAGCCTACAAAAACACCAGTTTTTAGAGATGCAATCACCTTTAGAGCTGTAAGGACGCCCAAAATTACTTTATCTTTTCCATATTCCTGTTAATAGAAAGAAAAGTTCTGCTACTTTCTCGTGTGCATGAACCATCTTAAACCTCGAAAGCGGCTGGAGAAAAACAAGTACATGGCCAGCTATTTTTGGCCGCTCTAGGACACCCTACAACTCTAGGGCAGGCAGCAGCGAAGACGCGGCTTCCTGGGAAGTATTTTACAGCATTGGAAACCAGTACTTTAAGCGGCAGTTATACTAAGGCACTAACGAAAAAGCCTGGTCTTGACGCACAGCTCTATCTCAGGGCCAGAAACCGGGGTGCTCAGCAACCCGCGCACCCCACGCGCACCGCAACCTGTTAAATCGCGCTATTCCCCACCGCACCGCCCGCGCTAGGGCGCAGCCCGGCCCGGCGCGGTCCGACCGCGCACACGGAGGGGGCCCCGCAGCGCGGAG